TGGGCCGCTGCTGTCTCCTTCGTTGTGCTGGCCATAGTGGCAGGTCTGGTGGCTGTTTTCCTCCAGTGTTTCTGGAACACCAAGTAGCTCCCAACCTCCTGTGTAGAGGCAGTCTGCCCACTAAACCAGGCAGGAAAACGGTGCAAAAGAAGTGGAAGGAGAAGAAGAATGAGGGCATTAGAGCCATCTCCATTGCTCAGGAGATCTAATTGGGCCATCTCTGTAAAGATGTCGAAGATGACAAAGGTGTCTTGAACTCTCCAAGCACCTCCAAGAGGAAAAGACTCATTTAATCTTGGTGGCTAGATGAAGCCAGATAAATTGAAACTAGAAATAAAATCCAATTTATTTCTCAAATATGAGTCACTAACCAGCCTTGGCACTTCCAGTCCTGCTGGGCTGCTCTCCCAACAGCTGTGGGAGGCAATTAGTGATGGCGAGCAGTGGTGGCCACCTAAACTATGAGGGGGTGACCTTATCTGGATCTTGCCCTGTGCAAGATGTGCAAGATTTTTGTAGTATGTGACAGAGTATCTTCCCAAAGACACTGCCAGCTATCTTAAAAAATATTTACTGGCATATCTCAGCAGAAAAATACAAGTGGAAGTTGATTTAAGAGCTGCCAACTCTGGCTCAGGGTTTATTTTATATCCAAGTTACTTAGCCCAGCTTTGTCAGCCACCAAATCCATAGCAGGTTCCAGCTCCAAGCACTTGAGTGTTTTATTTAGATCAGCAGAGCCCAGCACAGCTCAGCTGCAGGAACTGGACAGTCATGTCAGTCCTCCCAGCTCCATCCCCCAGCCCAGCCCCACACTGCCCAGTCAGCCCTCTCCATAGCTCCTCAGAGGCTCTGCCAAAGCCCAGGCCTGGTCCGAGTAGGGTTATTTCCAAAACTACCTCTCCTCTGTGCTGCAAGACCCCTGCCCACACAGCACGAAGCATCCAGGCAGGACTTAAAGGCTAAAGAGAAGAACCACAAGCATCTGGGCTGAGGAATGGTCAGAGCCCTTTGGCTCTGGCAGATCTGTGGGGTGTTTGCTGTGGAAGATGACACATGGTGGTCATATGTGTTATCCCATATATCCCACTGCAAACTTGTTACAAAAGCCTTTTGGAAAAGCAGCATCTCTCTGTCTGGCGGAGATAAGGTTCTGTGACTCAAGAGCCTGGGGCACAGGGCTCTGCCTCCTCCTCTGACAGCTGCCCTTGGCCTCATTAGAGTGAGGCTCATTAGAGTGAGGCTCAGCCTTCCCAGCCTCAACCTGAGCCACAAGGCAGAGCGGGTGAAGATCTCCATCCAGAGATGGATCTTCCAACCCAGCAGTCTGATCCCCAGAGGTCTGAGCTACCACATGGACACTTCCCACAGCCAAACGCCAGATCCCTCCCTCTTCTCTCTGCCCGGCACAGGCACATCTTTGGCAGTATTAGCACAGAGGTAAAAATGCCAGGTCTGGGGACAGGCTGCAGAAAATGCTGTTGGACCACTTGAACTGACCTCACGGGATCTGTGAGTGGGGA